TAAGTGCCGATAGCTTCACGTTGGTGCCATGTGAAAACTTTTGGGTAAGTGCCGGTAGCTTCACGTTGGTGCCATGTGAAAACTTTTGGGTAAGTGCCGATAGCTTCACGTTGGTGCCATGTGAAAACTTTTGGGTAAGTGTTGGTGGCGCCACGTTGGTGCCATTCGGAAATTATAGTGTTGTTATATATGTAATATTATGTTTAGTGTTAATATTATGATTATTTATAATTATATTAAAATGAATATTTTCTTTTTTTCTTTTCAGCTATTATTTATCTATTCAATATAAGTATATCTAACGCAATGCAAAAAAATGCTATAGCAAATAATATTATTATACGACCTTGTAATGTTATATATAAATTAATTGACGACATAAAGAATGAAATTAATTTGAAACTTCCGTTGAAAGATAGCGAAGAAATAATAGGTAAAATTATTATTTTTTTTTTTTTTTTTATAAAAAAGATTGTAAAACATTGTGTGCAAAAATTTCATGTTTTTTTTTTTTTTTTTCAACACTTTTAGGTGAAGCAGATTTTTTAAAACAATTCGACGTTAAGATAGAAAAGAAAAAAGTTTCTATAGCAGGTTGTCAATGTACCAAAGGTATTCTTAAAAAAAATGAATTGTATCATTTGAAACGTGGTGATAATATTGTTTACACCGGTAAGTTGAAAATGAAACATTTGAAACATTAAAAAAAAAAAAAAAAAAAAAATTACAATTCAATCATTTGATATGTTTTTCAAAGGAAAATTATTATCGATGAGACATCACAAAGAAGAAGTGGATACCATTAAAAGTGGCACGGAATGTGGTTTAAGATTTGTCAATAGTTCGATAACATTTCAACCAGGTGATAAAATAATTTGTTTCAAACCGTACCAGGAAAAACAAACTATCGAATGGGATGCTGGATTTTAATAAATGTGTATTTATTAATACGATGTTCCCTATTGATATTACTTAAACCAGGAGGCGGGTCGGCAACCTTTTGAGTCGGAAGAGCCAAAAATTACAATTTACAAAATTTCAAAGATTTAAATAGTCACACAATTTTTTCTTGCTAACAAAATAAATAATACTCGCATAACTCGCATAAATATATCTTTTTGATAAAAAAAAAAAGACTCTTTTAACTAAAGAG